ATGATAAATCGACTTTTTTTCTCTTTTTAATTTTTGCTTTTTGTTCTTTTTTTTTCTTTTTTTAATTTTTTATTAGATAAATTTTTGAAAAATAAATCACAAATGTGTAACTGTGGCACTTATTTTACTCTTTTGCATTTTCATTTTTTTGTTTCTAATCTTTTTAATCAGATAATTTATAACAAAAAAATTTTGTTAAATAAGTTTTTTCAAAATTTTTAAGGAAAATGTCAATGAATGTATAGATAATAAAACAACCCATATAAAATGGGTTTAGATTTGTATGGATTTAATAGATATTTTTTTATTTGGATCGAATTGAATTTTTTTTAAAAAAAATTAAAGTCGAGTTGAAGACAAGTTGATAATGTTTCATCTTATCTTAACTATATATATTAAAATTTATCTTTAATTATTTATTTAATTTTATATTTATATATTTGTATTATATTAATAAAGGTAAATTTCATCAAAATCCATTAGTTTGAAGAATGGGCAACCCACACAAACTTTTCAATTTCACAAGACAAGTTGGCTATTCCGTTAGTCATTCATTAGTTATTTTGTTAAAAACTTCATTTAAAAACCATTTTACTCTTGAAAAGTTAATAACCTGGAATACTCACATGTAATAATATTTTATAGCAATAAATTGTTTTTATTTTTCTCAAAATATATCAAAACAGAAAAAAATTTTTCACAAAATATATTGAGTATAATTCAATATAAGTCCATTAATAGTTAAAAACAAATTTTAGATGCGACAAATAAAAACAAACCTTACAATTATAAATACACTACTATGTGACTATATAACAAAATAAAGATATTAAACATTTAATATTATTTTGACATGTAATAATTTAAAATAAAAATATGAAAAATATAGAGATATAATATGAAAAAAGAAAGTTTGATGAAAAGACAAAAAGGATTACAATTCAATATTTATCAATTCGGTTTTAGTTATTATAATACTCATATATATGTTAAACTTAAATTAATATATTTATGAAAATATCTTGATGACAAATTTATTCTTTTTAAATTTAAAATAATTTATAATAAGTAAACCCAATTTATTAAATAATTTTTTTTTCAAAATCTTAATTAAATTTATTTAACTTAATATTTTATTATTTTAAAATAAAAATCAATTTAAGACTAGCATTATTCAATTGCAAGATATTATGTTGCAAGTTGCTTGATTGAAGAACTTGTAAAATCATGGAGGATTGAAGCACCAGAGGAAGCAAATATATAATCCTTCATAATGCGATCATGCATATCATAATGAAGGAGTAGCAGAATTGGATTAGAGACAGGCAGAAGGCGAAGGAGATGAAGACCAGAGTAGAAACCAAGTGGAAACCGCGCATGGACGAGCTCCAAAGTTATATATGTTATATATTAAATAGATTATAATATGTGTGATGCATAAAATAATTTTATTTATTTAATAAATATATATTTAAATTAGTTTTTTTTCAAAATTATATTCAAATTTTTAAAATTCATAATATATATAAAATTTGTATATATTAACTTGTTATTCAAAAATAAACTTTTTGTAAGCAGTGAGAAAAAAATTATGTCTTTCCCTAAGATATTTTTGTTTACGATAATATTTATATGCATTTAAGATTATATCAAATAAAAATAAATAATGCATTTCTTAAAATATATATTACTAAATGATAAATTAAATAATAAATGAAGTATTAACATACTTTCACTTTAATATTTTTGACTAAATTATTATACAAAATATGAAAAATGTTAGAAAATATGTGAAAAATAAAAATAAATTGAAAAAATATTATTTTTCTTAAGAATGAAATTGTAATAACAATAAAATATATATTAGAAAAAAGTTATAAACAAAAAAAAATTGCAATAGTTATAGAATATACTTTAGAAAAAAATTACTGAAAAAATAAAAAAAAATTTGATGTATAACACATTATATTTGTAGTTTTAAATTTATAGATGAATTCTTTAGTGGCAAGTAGAATTAAATAGATAATTTTTAAATTAATTTTTTAAAATTTAAAATGTATATAATAAGTGATAAAGGTAATTTTAAATTTTTTACATTTATTTCAAATATAAATTTGCTAATTAGAGTTCAAATGGATATAATTATTTTAATAATCTTATTATTTAAAATTTAAGATGAAAATTTTTTGAATTTTTAAAATCTTACATAAAATTGCTTGAATTTTTAATGTCTTACCTAAATTTTTTAAAAAGATTATTTTTTAAATCAAGATAAAAAAGATTGTTGAAAGATTTGGATAAACTTAATCTTTGTAATTTTAAACATTTTGAAAGATTTTGATAGTTAAATAGTTTTTTAAATAAGGTTATATGGTAAACAACTAAAATTATTTATTAAAAAAATAAAATCCATATTTCATATTTTTAATTTTAGAAAATATATCTTAAATTGATTTGATTTTCAATTATAATTTAAATAATTTTAATATTTGAATAAATTTAAATTATCTAATTTGTAATTAAAAGAAACTATCTTATTCTTTTAAAAAATTATCATATGTGTTATTTAAGAGAATTGTCCACATAGACGCCCATGCCCATGTGGTAAACTTATTTATATATATTGTTATATATATATATATATATATATATATATTAGATTACATGAAAAAAGTCTAAAAGTTCTAAAAAATCTTTGAATTATAATTAAAAATAATTTAAAATTTTTTATTTCAATCGATCAATTTTTCTAACATTTATTTGTATTTAATTAAATTCTTATTTGGATAAAATTAATATCGATAATATTTTTGCTAACAAAGATAAAATTTCATATGATATTAATAAAATAGATAAAAATTTATCACATAACGTAATTAATATATGTGAAAATTAAATAAAATAACTTTTTTCTTCTTTATTTTCTCTCTCTTTATCTAAGATCTTTCTAAAAGTTCAATTATCTATAGTTCAAGGATTGATTAAATTTTATCACATGATTAAATTTCATTCATTTACAGGTTCAATTATATTGAAATAGAAGATTAAAAATTTGATTAATTACAATAAACTATTAAAAATTAAATGATTATTGAATTATAATTAAAGATTATTTTTACCTTTTAGCAAAAATTTTTGTTTCAAATCATTTATACCAAGTTACAATTTTGTTCCAAATTACCGAAGGATAAAAATAAAGATTATAAATTATTGATTAAAAATTTAATAGAATGCAAAAATCCAATAAATACTTTATTGTTCAATTTGAAATATTTGAGAGTTCTTTTTGCTATAAAAAAAAATTCAGAGGTCTTTCGTTGATTTAATCTCCTAATAGCCATTTAAAACCAAAAAACAGTGGAATATGATTGATTAGAACACATGTGATAGAAACTCATGAAAGTGAACATGAATCTGAGTTGAGCTTTTGTCTATATATATTTACTTTCCTTATATTCTTGTTAGCCACGTGACTTTCCACATGAAGCTTTTGTCTTTTCGATATGGACACCAGTAATAAACCAAAATAACGATAAAATAACATTAAAAAAACCGAATAAATTTTGGTACAGAACAACCTTATAAATTTGTTTATGCATTCCAATGTAAACTTGTGAGCTTACTCCTGACTTCGGACTGAATTTGACTTATTTGACATCAAATCAAGTTTGAGTCATTGGAGTGAAGGCTCAGTCAAATTTAAGTATTTAAATATTTAATTTGAAAATTTTATAATTTAATAGAATTTATAATTTTATATATTTTAATGTGTATACATAAATATATGATAAAAATATAATATTTAAAATCTGTACTTATAATTTTATTTTCTAACTAAATTTTTTGAGTCAAATTTAGATAATTTAAAGAAATTACGAACCTAAGTTGAAACATAAAAAATGAAGTTATATTGATGTTGAACTGAGCTTCGCGCTTCAACGTTAATAATTTTGTACATGACGCATACGAAAAAATACAAAATAATATAAAATTAATATAAATTAAAATTTTGACAAAATATTTAAAAAATTAAAAATATATCTTTGTCCATCTTGAATAATAATATAGTAATTTTTATTTTTACGTATATTTAAAAAATACTCCAAATTTTGTAGTGATTAAGTAGCGAATCTTAATCTTAGGCTTTATTTGTTTCACAAAAAATAATTTTTAAAAAATAATTTTTGAAAAATATTTATATTTTTTGAACTGAAAATTTTTTTTATTTAGATAAGTTGATGAAAAATATTTTTATTGTTAAAATATTAAAAATTATTTATTATTAAAATGTATTGAAATTATTTATTATTAAAATTATTAATATTAAAATATAATTATATTTTAATAATAGTTAATATTAAAATATTATGTTAATATAAAAAATACTTAAAATAAAACTATTTATTATTCTTTATATTATTTATTAATATATTATAATATTATTTATTAATAATATTTATTATTATATTATTTATTAATATACTATATTAATAGTATACTATTTATTATTATATTATAACATTATTTATTATTAGTTATTAATATATTATATCAATAATAAATTATTTATTAATATAATATTATTTATAAATAAAATTATACTCAAAAGTATTAATAAATTATTTTTCTCATAAATAATTTTTTTAAAAAAAATTTTAAATACCTAAAATAATTTTATTTTTTATTGATCAATAAATTATTTTTTGTTAATAAATTTATTTTTTATTAAAATATCTAAAAATATAAAGATTATATTAATAAAATAATTTTTTGCGAAACAGTCGGAGGCTTATGTAACGGCATTGAGGAGATGCGGGAGCATTGCAAAACAAAAAATGAGTTGGCGGTGGAAAAGAAAATGACAGAAGCAGAACATGCCTCCTATTTTTGTATTTTTTTAATTATTTAAAATATCTTTCATTAAAAATTTATTTAAAATATTTTATTTATATATGCATAACATTATTATTATTATTATTATTACTACTATCAAAACGACACTTTGCTTCGGTATTCTCTTGAAGACGGCGTTTCTTTCTCATCAATCCGCTTCTCGTTCTCTCGTTTCTTGTTTGTTAATATATATCGGCTTCTCAGATTCTGTCGTTTCTTGTTTGTTTATTTTTTTTATATCAATAGTTTTGATAGGAAAGCAAAGCCTAAGACAGAGACAATGATAACATGCTCAAGGAGTGGAAAATGCTGGGAATGGGCGAGAGTTTATCTAAACTATTGTATATGCAGCGGAAGAGATCAATTGTCGTTTAGTTTGGGATTGATCAGCGTAATAAGTTGGGGTATGGCTGAGATTCCGCAAATTATCACCAACTATAAGGAAAAATCCGTTCAAGGACTGTCAGTCGGTTTCTTGATCACTTGGATTGTTGGGTGTGTATTCTTCTCTTTTACTACAAACTTTTCCTACTATTTTTTTTCCTATTCACCAAACTTGTTGCACTTTTCAGAGATCTTTTCAATCTTTTCGGTTGTATTCTTGAACCGGCTACTGTAAGTGTTTTTTTTTTTTTTTTAAATATACATGGATAGATGTATGTTTACCTGCTTTTTGTTTCTTATTTTGTCCTATCTGCTTTGTTATCATTCGAAATTCTCATAAATATGTTACATAAGAAGAAATTCTCATGGAACTCTTGTCTCGTTAGAAAGAAACAATTATTTTGATTTTCTATTGGGAATTTTTTGCAACCAATTTACTGAAACTTTATCACTTATCTTTGCAGCTTCGAACGCAATACTATATGGCAGTTGTAAGAACATTGCTAAATCCAAAGTGTTGTTAATCTAGTCAATTTCTTAGTTTACTATATTGTTCTAGTGTTCTTGACTATTGACTTACATGACCTTCTTGCTATGATGTCAAAGCGCAGTTGTATACAATGACTACCTTAATTCTTGCGGCACAGACTATATACTATGGTCACATTTATCCTCGATTAAAGTACAGTAGAGTGTGCGACAAGGTAAGAAGTTAAACTACATCTCTCTTGGCAAAGATTATTTAAATCCATGCTCAGAGTAAATTACTTAACACGATGGTCATGTTAAACCTCTACACTTTGGAAATTATTGAACCTAATAGAGATAGGAAACACACAATTATGTTACATGGTGTGCAACAGAGAAAAATGTTTGGGATTTCGTTTAAACTAATCCAACTATTATGGTATTTTTTTCATGTTGTTTTTAAATGATATACAGGACCCAATGTTTAGCCTTCTAATTTGGTTTAACTAAAAAAGTAAAAAAAAAAATAAAAATCTGAGTTCTGAAAGAAGATGCCAATTTATTGTGTTTCTTTTGTGTAACTTGAGAAGAGTACATGGTATCTTATAGAGTTATGTGTTATTTGCTTTCAAATGCATGAAATAGATACTTGGTCGTCTTCATATGGATTTTACAAACTTGGTATCTCTATGATTCAGGTTCAGTTGAGTTGTAGTTTGAACTATTAGATGTAGAATTGGTTCTCTCAGGTTTCAATAATATAGATTTGATTGCTTTACCAAGTTTTGAAGCATAAAAGGTTATACTTGTTTCCATTTTTATTTTTAATAATCAATATCAATGGAAATTTATAGTGCTTCAGTTTACTGGAAGCCCATAAACAGTGAAGAAAGAAAGAATGTAAATAATAAACTTTTGTATCAGAGGAAATTTTATGCATGCTTTTTTGGGTCAGTTTTAACTTCTGCAAATACTTTAGTTTGTAGGCTTTTGGCTTAACTTTGTGTTTGCACAGCAAGTTTAGGAGGAATCCTGACATAGGATAATCTATTAAGAGTTTGATCATTTTTAATAGCTGTTGCACATATAAGAACGACAATGAGTCAATAGATCATCTTTTACTTGATTGTCTAATGGCTTTGAAATTACAGTCTCCCGTTTTTGCTTTGTTCATAGTGGTTTGGCTACTTGGGTGATTCATAGTTATTTTAGTTTACATTCTCCTTGAATTTTAAAGATGTATTCAAGTTCTTCTTCTAATTTCTGTGTTTGTTATGTGCTGATTTTCTACTTGGTGTGTTCCATTGTGCTGTTAATAAATTCTATGCTTACCAGGAAAAAATTTTTAAAATATTCCGTTAGGAAGTCTTAAATCCATGGATCAAATCTATGTAACTTTTTCTTCACCTCATATGTAGTTGTGGAAGATTCTCAATGTAACCATGATATGCTAAAGAACTTTCACAAGATTTGCTCCAATCTTTTGTCTACACTTGTAGTTCGTTTCCCAGCAGGGGAAGGAAACATAAGTATAACATTCTGAAAGCATTTGCAAAATTGCAGTTATATTAAAGTGCTTTATTGGGTTTTTATGGTTGCTATTTGTTCTGGGAAGGTTCTTCTTTTGTTCTCATTGATATATTATGTTCCAAAATTACCCAATGCATTTCATATGTAGGGTTCCCAAGAGTACCAAACTGAGGCAAAACAAAATGCTGGAAAATGCATTAGCAATTTTGGCGTGAAACAAGCTATCAATTCTGACAAATTAAGTTCTCCTATTCCTCTTCCAGCGATTAATGTAAAGAGTTCTCCAGGCAGAGAATTATACTACATGTAATTCATTATTTACCTTAATGTTCTCACATTTGCTGTATTTTCTATAAATTTTGGACTTAAAACCTCAACAAATGTAGTACAGTCATCAATATCTCCTCCATTATTATTTAGTTAAGCATATCAGAGACTTAGAATTGGTTTAACTATTTTCCCATATGTGTATACCTCTAAATAGAAATATCATTTAAGTTCGCTTTATGCCATAAATGTTCATTTTCTTATATTTCATTGTAATATCTCACTTTTTTATTATTCAACAAATTTTTTGGACATTTAGGAAGAAAATGTAGCTAATAGAGGCATATATGGTGCATGCACAAAGATAAACTTAATTTAAGTTTTCACATACTTTTGAGATCCTAAGATGATTAGAGCAAAGTTTATAGTGATCTGTAGAACATGTAATGTAACATGTAATGAATCATACTATTTTAAGATGTGTGTCATTTTGAAAGGTGGAGGGCAAATAAAAGCTTATACATATTTTGATATGTCCCTCTAAATGCTGCCTGCAGTGATCATCTAATAATTTTCTTTCTTTCTTATTTATATGTTAGGTCAGCAAGATCTTTATCAAGAAGTCATACGTCCACAGCAGGATCCTTCCTTGCACAAAGAATGACTCCTCCTTCTCTTCATACAGGAAATTTAGTTAAAGAGCCATTGCTCGGTGCACATGTTTCAACACAATCTACTCCTTCAAGCACCAAATCATTGCTATGCTTGGTGATTATGACTTAATTAGGAGAACTAAAATCCTACCCCATCCTTAAAACAACATAATATATACATTATCTCTCCTTTGTTTCAGGTGTCTGCATTAATATTCATTAGCTCATTTAATTTCCACCTCTCAGCATTGAGTAAACTTCACATAGGACATGATATAATAAATCAAGGATTCGTGATACAAATAGGAAGAAAGCTCCTCCAGGTAGGTTCAATCTGCAACTATTTTCCTCTATATGTTCATAACCATTTGCTGGAACAACAGATTTACATGTATAGCCTTCTTGTAAAGCATTATAGTTAATAAATAATTAGTCAGTAGTTTCTTCTGGACCTCTATTCAACAGGTTTATTGACCATTTTTAGTTATTTGTTTTATGAGCGTTACCTATTTTATTTGACTTCCAGTTTGTACCAGGTCAAAAATTGGGAATTCATTTTTGTTATGGATAAATATGTAAAGTGGATGCAACCATGTTTTAGGGACTAGAAAAGTTATGTTCTTGAATGCTTGTTGGTTCCATATCTCTTGCTTTTATGTCTTTTTTCTTCAATATAGATTGAACTCAATAGTGATTTTTAAATTAAACTTTATGAAGACATATGTTCATAACCATTTGCTGGAACAACAGATTTACATGTATAGCCTTCTTGTAAAGCATTATAGTTAATAAATAATTAGTCAGTAGTTTCTTCTGGACCTCTATTCAACAGGTTTATTGACCATTTTTTAGTTATTTGTTTTATGAGCATTACCTATTTTATTTGACTTCCAGTTTGTACCAGGTCAAAAATTGGGAATTCATTTTTGTTATGGATAAATATGTAAAGTGGATGCAACCATGTTTTAGGGACTAGAAAAGTTATGTTCTTGAATGCTTATTGGTTCCATATATCTTGTTTTTATGTCTTTTTTCTTCAATATAGATTGAACTCAATAGTGATTTTTAAATTAAACTTTATGAAGAGGATAGCTGGCACCACAACCATTGAGTTATTTGTAATTGGGATTTCAGGTAAATGTTATGCCATTAGGAGAAAGTGGTATTGAAGGAGGCAGCAGGGTTGGAACTTTTCTTGGTTGGGCAATGGCAGCTATTTACATCGGTGGACGCCTTCCCCAAATTTGCTTAAATGTAAGGTTTATACAAACAAAATTAGTGGTGTTTTTTACTGCTTTCACAAAAAATTAGAAGAGTTTTACTATGGTTCTTATGTGGTCTTTTAGACCCAACCTAGCCTAAAAACTTAAATTGATAACTTGGAGCAAGTTAACATTATGCTTAGTATTACCACTCCCTAGCAAATGCAAGTTGTCTAAGCACAAGCCATCTGCTTAATACCTGTTGGAACTAAAGTTTGACAAGATAGCAAAGGGTGTCGGGATTTAAATTCTAGAGTAGAACAAAGAGGATGTAGTACTGTGATAGTCAACCAATAGACCTAAAAGCTTAACCTAGTAGATTGGGGCCAAACTAACAAAATATCTGTTATAGTACGAAATATCACTTTCTAATTGTCACAAGTTCATAATAGTTTCAAGTGACTCAATTTTCTTTAATTTTGAAATTGAAACTTGGTTCTTGGTTTATGGAAATGTAATTATCAGAGAGTTAGATGGATCAGCAACTTCAAATTAGAAGTTTAAGCAGTCAACTAAAAAAGTTCAAGTACCATTCATCTGTTTCCCCAAGCAGAATTTGTTGATATTCACTCTTATAACAAATATATGTCATGCACCAATAGAATGTGATTTTTTCACAAATTAATAACAGAATCATTATAGCATGAATTTTTTGGTAACTTTTTGTTTTAAGCTTACAACTGGCATATCTTATATTTGTCTAGTTGAACATAATGTAGTTTTCTTGATCAATTTTGCAGATTAGAAGAGGCAATGTAGAGGTAAGCGCATTCTTTAAATATTTTTGTTCTCGATAGAATATTCAGAAGTTCATTTGGTGCAATGTGTTGCTCATTGTTATAGAACTTCTTTGATACACTGGAATAAGTATTTAGCTTATTTAGAGCTTCTTTTGTTCGAATGGAGTTAGATAAAAAATTATTCTCTAAAGTAGAGTTTTTTTAAAAAAATGTTTTTATATTAAAATTGTTTGACATAACTAAGAATATGTTTTTCAGTTTAAAAACTTCATCCAACACCTTTGTCATCCTCTCATTTCGGCCTTTTCCCCCCTAAAACTCCAAATTGGAGCTTCAACGTTTTGTCTCTTGAGCTTATTTTCAGCTTTTAAAAAGTTAAAAAAACTTTTGTGAGATACTGCTTAGCTAGATGAAAAAAATTTGCTTTGGAACCTAGCCTCATAGGCATGACACTTGATATGTAGCTCCTTATCATTACCACCCAAATTAAAGATTGGGAGAAAAAGTGAAATCTAAGGTAGAAGGGAAACTTTGCCTGAGAAAGAGAGGAACATGGGGAGGGGAAATATTGTACTTAGTTCAATGTATATGGAGGGCCTGAATCTTGTATGACATGTTCTTCCATGCATGCAGGGTCTTAACCCTTTTATGTTTATCTTTGCTTTGGTTGGAAACTCCACATATGTTGCAAGGTAAATTTGATCAACTCACCATTCTTATTTGACTTCACTTTAAAGTCCAATTGATCATTTTATCTAGAGTGGTTCCTCTCTGTTTATGTTACCCTTCCTTTTATTCTTTCCCTGTAGCATACTTGTCAACAGCATCGATTGGTTAAGAATCAGACCAAATTTACCATGGCTGGTGGATGCAGGAGGATGCGTGCTGCTTGATACTTTTGTATCCTTATTAAGGATGGTTATAGAATATCATACTTAACTTTTTTTAAGGGAGGTGTTTTCTGGAGTAGGAAGATGTTGGTTATTTCTGTTTTGTAAAACTTTTTTATTGTTTTATCTCCCATATGTTGCCAATTGTTTCTCCTCATTATCTTTAGTTGAGTTGCTTTTAGTCATTCTTAAAGTTCATATTCTTCGTAGAACCTTATTGCATTTTACAGATATTGGTTCAGTTCATTTACTTCTGCAATTGGGCACCTCAAGATGCAGAGGATAAGCATGAAAACTTAGATGCATCTTAAATGATGGCAAAATAGCCTTTTGTTGAAGGTTCTTTCTCTCTCTCATGTGAGTTTTTGTACTTTTATGCATGTAGGGTCTAGGAAATTTTTATAGTTAAAACAATTATGACTGGTTTAGATGATTAGTGGGCTTTACTAAAAACTTTCTAGATGCACTTAATGGTGTAATGTTGGGTTCTCATTTTGCTTATCGAACTTGAACTATGCTTTTACATTTTTTTCTTATTTGTAATTTGGAACAGATGTGATTTTAACTCAAAATCTCCTCCTTAGGAGGTAAAATGTGGTAATAATTAGGCTATTGCCTCAGACTCAAAGATGTTTTATTCCCAAAAGAATCACAATCAGATAGAAGAAAACGCTGGAGAAATTTATTTTCATCTCCTTTCTTTCGTTTACATTCTCCAGTTTCTTGTGAAGAAGAAAAAAAAGGCCTTTCATTTCTTTGCATATTCTTGTTAAGCTTATAGGCAACCTGCATTTTCTAACTCATTAATAATGTAGGTAGTTTATACATATACATCCAGACTAATCTTTTTCTAATATCTATGCTACCTTAGTTCATTATCTGGTTATTTGTAAACAATATGACTACTCATATTTCTAAGAAAATGTTTGCATGAGAAGAGGATGACCCTCAGAGAAGTAAACTTATATTTTTCCTCATTGTGGTGCATGCGCACATGGACAAGCATGTGTTCAGATATTTTAAAGCAAATTACTGTACACACTAGTTGGTAAGGTATCCAGAATATTGTGAACAACTAGGAACTAATAATTCACAATGAAAGGCCAATGACATTTTCATAATTTCAAGGTTATGTTCAAATTTGTCAAACCAGGTCTCTTGTTGTTTTATGTTTATTGATTATTGATAATTGCTTGCCAGGGGAATCTTCTGCAATTGGAATAAAATTCTGAAGATGTTTTGGTGGAGATGTAGGATATGTAGATGACAAGTCTTATTTCTTTTGGATGAGCAATGACAAGTTTCCTAAGTAGCAGCATTTTTTGAAGTATCAAGCAAACTTGGTATTCATGTGAATTTGGGGCCAAGTCTTGTCTGATTAAACAGTGCTAAATCTTGGATTTGTAGTTAGTGAAGAGGGATGATATTTGTGTTTGATGTGTATGTTTCAGGCAAAATTTCTTTTGCATCTGTTGCTGCATGTTTGCCTTTCTTGACTGTCTTTACTCTGCTTTCAATTTTCTCCTAGTTGATCAAGGATTCCAACTTTAGTTATCTTTCATATCTCTTCCATGTTTCCTTTGTAAGCGATACCAACTTCAGCTGTTTTATTCTTGTGGGCAGTTGCATTAAATACGTGATAAGTATGGGTTGTTTTGTGGAAATCCTTTGGTAGCCTGGATACTTGTTTCCTCTGTGAGGCAACATAGCTGACATTGAATGATGAAGTTGGCTGTTTCTGGGGAATGGTTGCAAATTGTATTGAGTGTTTTTCAAAATGAATTGTTGTTTACTTGTTTATGCTTAAAGGTGCTTGACAAAACGCCTAGGATGGGCTGTCATCTTGTCACCAAATTGTTTTAACCTTATTCGACTTGGATTAGTTAATCATTTGTAAGGTACGGCCCACCAGAATTGGAGTTGTGGCCCTTTCTGGTTGGTTAATTTTGGCTATGCTTTGGGATTCTTGTTGAAGCTTGTATTTGAATTTCATTCTATATGGTCTATGGGTAGAATGTTAAATTTTTAATTATAGTAACAGATCATTTTCTGATAGCCTCAAATACATATATATATATATATATATATATATATATACATTGCTTTAAAAAAGAAAGTGTAATTGAAAAGGATACATTGCTCCTTTCTGGTTTTGCTGCACATGCAGAATATTTGTTTTGTATCACAAAACTTGTTAATGATTTCACCAATATGGTTGGATCATGAATGTTTTGGCCCGTCAGGAAAACGCAAGTCTCACCTAGCTCAAAATGTTTTGCTCTCCCCAATGAAACAGGCTTAATTTTGACCAAACAAACAGATATTATACATTATATCTTGCTTTAGAGCATAACCTTTTCAAGTATTAGAATTGCTTTATTTACAATGTACTGTATAAAAGATGGATGCTTCAGTGACTTTATTCATAGACCAAAAGATGGCCCTCAGCGGCTTTAAGAATTGGAAGCCTTACCCTTGGAGATGAAGCTGAAGCCTGAGCAGATCCATAAGGTCTTTGAGGGCAAAAGACAATATACATAACTTGATTAGAATCGGTTTGTAGATGATAAAGATGCTGGCCGGCGGCATAGCCTCCAAGAAGAAGGTATGACCTCTCTGACTGTTCCATTGTCACACATAGATCATCACCACCTGGTTGGCCAAATGTTGTTAGTAAATCGCTGTGTCAAATTAAGGAAGATGACAATCACTGGGGAGAGGTTCTATTAAATGCAGTGACATGTAAATATGTGCTTGTGAATGCTGAAATTTTGGCTATCCTTTTGGCTTTTGCTTTCAGGTAATAGTCAGATGAAGCTGCTGGTGCAGGGTCAAAGCAATTATTAAGGTTCAAACAAAAAGAACTTAGGCTAGACTGGCTTGATGGTTGATGAAGTAAATTACTAATTAGGTTGGCATCACTTTGTGAATTTGCTTCTTTCTCACATGCCTATTTGTGATGTCCATTTATAGCTAGGATGAGTTGTAACTTCAATCAGAGGCAGCATGGGTTTGAATGATTCTCTGCCCATATTTCATGTCAAGAAGAAAAGAATATATGATAGAAACAAAAGAACGCACAGGCAGCCAGCTCAATTTGAGTGTTGTAAATGAAGTTGAGGACCGCAGTAATGTCTTGCTCAAACTCATAAAATGGTCCACTCTCGAAATTCATCTTTCTAAGTTTACACAGCCCCTCACCCAACTCCATCATAGCACCCCTGTGGTTCTGCATAACATTTTCATTAAAATTTCAAACACTGAGGAGAGCATGTAAATGTTAATTCAGTTAAAACCTGGTTAAAAAGGTGGTGGAATCCAACAGCACATTGTAGAATGCCATGAATGAGATTTCTGGCCGGCTCCTCGGCTTTGTTCCATAAGGCCTCAAGCAGGTCATGGCACTTATAGTACTCCCTTTTGTTGAAAAGGGAAACTGCCTGGTCAAAGCTACAATTCTCATGGTCCTCGCTATCTTCATCTCTGCTTGAGTAGCGATAGGAGACGCCAAAGGAGTACAACTTTCTGGGGCCTTGGGTTGGAATAATTGGAGAAGAAAAAAAATTGTTGGGATTATAGGTATACATATAGTTATGGAGACGAAGGGGGCAAGTAGGAGTTGAGAGTTGAGGTCTTTGAAGAGAAGACAATGGCAGTGGCAGTTTGAAAGCAAGAACCATATCTCCAGGTGAATAGGAGATTGAAGGAGACGACAGGCGAGAGTCGTTTCTTTGTGGCCTTCGTCTCTGCCTTTGGGTGTGTATCTTTTGATTTTATTTTATTTTTTGTGTTTTGGTTTGCGTGTGTGTGTGGTTGTAGTCTTATCTTATGTAATAAGGTCGAAGTAAGTCAAGTGAAACGGACTGCAAATGTGCAATGAAATTTAAGTCGTCATTAAACGCAATTACTTTTAAATATATCTTTTTTCCTATTTTAAGTTACCAACTTTTTTTATAAAAAGGTCCAACAATCTGGATGTCTGTTGATTGAATTTTTAATTTAGATAATTAAAATTAAGTGATCGTTTAATTATGATATTTTTCGATATATATATATATATATATATATTTTTGATCAAAAGTTGATTCTTTCTTAAGCGTGTAATATGACAATTTATCATTTTTTGTTTTTTTCTTTATTTTTTAATATGTTTTTAAATATTTAATAAAAGCTTTTTAAAGATTTAAATTTTTTAAAGATGGGATTTACTTTATATCAAGTTTTTTTGGCCTATTTTATCATTTTTTTTCAAAAATTTTAATTAATATTTTTAAAAATTTAATTTTTGTGTGAGATATTAAGGATCCGTTACATGTTTGATTTTTTTTTATTATTATTCACTTTTTTATATATTCAATAAATATTTTGTAAGATTTTAAATTTTTTTATTTGATCAACTCGATACAAAAAGTATATTGCATGTTAAGTCATTTGCTTTATTTTTTATTAATATGTTTTAAATTTTTTTTTTTTTAGAATCCGTTTGATAATAAAAGTATATCACGTGTTTTTTTTTAATTTTTTATATATTTAATAAATATTTTTAAGATTTTAAAATTTTTGTTGACTCACTTAATATTAAAAGTAAATCGTGTGTCAAGTCATTTGTTTTTTTTCTCTCTTTTTCTCTTTTTTTTTCTATTCATTTTTCTTTTTGCCATTTTTAAATATTTAATAAATTTTTATATATTATAAAAATTTTAAAATGTCAGTCCATTTGATATTGTTTATTAAAATTTTATTTTTATTTTTTAAAATTTAATAACTTTTAAGAAAAGAATATTACAAATGTGTTCACGTCATGTCCAAATTTGATATTTGTTTCCTTCTTTGGTCCCTTATTTTTTGTTTTTTTTTTTTTTTTTTTTTAGTTTTTACTTTTTTGAATCTTTGATTAAATTTTGCAAAAAAAAAAAACTCTTCATTTAAATATACATTATATTAATAAAATTATTATCTAATATCTTAATTTAATAAATTCACATACCATTTTCATTTAAGTTCATTTTCTTCCTTTTTTCTCGTTATTTTCTTTTTTATTTTTAAGTTTTGATTTTTTTTAAATTAGATAAATTTTATAAAAAAAAAATCAATAGATATAACAATGACAAAATAACTTATATACTATGAGTTTTAATGTGCCCTGTTCAAATATGTATGGTTTTTTGAAAATTTCGTGATCGATTCCAAGTGTTTCCCTTTTTTAAATTGAAGTCCAATCAAATGTAAGTTTAAATTCTTCCATTTTATGAGCATATATAAAATTTTTAATTATTTATTTTTATTTTATTTTTATTTATATTACATTAATTAAGTTATTATTTAATATTTTAATTTAACAAAAATATTATATTTATAAATAATTAAACTTTAACCCATCAATTCATTATATAAATTTTAGTAATTTTTACTTTTATTTCATTCTCGTTCAAGATTTTAACTTGAAACTTCATGTTTCTTTCCTTTTTTTTCAATTTTTTTAAAGAAAATAATATTAATAGAGATGCTGTGTAGCACATTAATTTGTGTTTTTCCTTTCATATTTTTTAAATTTTAATTCGATTCATTTTATAACAAAATAAGTCTATTGATAAAAATGTCAAAATAATTAATATTTAATAAATATGTATCCGTTTCAATTTAATATAGGTATTTTAAAAAAAAAAAATCAATACTAAATCAATTTAAGTCTTTTTAAAAATCGTGGATGGGTCAAATATGACACTTTATCTTAAGTCACCATATGGTATATGTAAAAATATATATTTTATTATTTATTTAATTTTGAGAAATGACCAATTTATATAGTGTAAAATACTTTTAAGTTTTACACAATTTTTTTAACCGTTAACTTTAATAGATTTAATGGATGAAAGAAATAAGTAAAAATAAAAAAAAATGGTTGGATTTCATCTTTTAAATCCATTGAAATCATTAAAAATGTGTAAAATTAAAAAAATTTTAAACTCCGTAAGTTGATACCTCCTATTTAATTTATATTATATATGTATTCATTGATTTTTTTTTTTGTTGAAAATTTGGTATTAGGTGAGTCTCACACATAAAAAATAAAAATAAAAATTTTTTTTATAAAATATATTTTGTGAAAATAAAAGGTTGATTTATGTTTTCATGTGTCACTCCCATTTCGAATTTTTTATTTTTTACTTTTTTTTTAAATCAACTAAAATTTTTCATAAAAGATCAATAAATAAAAATAACAAAATAAAAATTCGTAACCTACGAAATGTGCGAGCACCCATATAATATATATATATATATATATATATATAAAAGTTAGGTTCAAGTAAAAATAATAAAATGAAACAAAACTTTTATTTATTTTGTTTTTCCAATTTTTCTCTATTTTTTTACTTTTTTTTATATATTTTTTTAAAAATAATTTGTAATCTAAATTTTTTTATATATTTAGACAGTGTTTAGTATAAGATAATCACTCCAAAAGTTATGGTGATCAAAATATGATAATTAGATTACTGTATTTGATAAGTATTCGGTGATTTTGTATGATCAAGTGTGATCAAATTACTATCTTGAAAGATGATGTAATTATTATACAAAAAGCTAAGAAACTTTTACAATTGAGAGGAAGTGAAATTTAAAATTAATAATAGTAAATTTTACTTATGTGAATTAAAAATTTACTATATTTTAAAATTATAATTATTTTATATTTTTAAACTAATATTCATTGTAACAAATTCAAAAATAATTTGTGTATTTTTTTTCCTTTTCTAATATTTATATAATATAATTTTTTGTTTTTCTTTTATTATAAATTTAATAGATTGATTTTATTTTCTAATTCACATTTTTTACATAATTTATGTTATAAAAACAATTTAGCATCAAAAAATATATTTATTGATTTAATAATTTAATTATATTTTAGTATAAAATAAATAAATAAATATCACTAATATTTTATAAATTATGGTAATATTTGGTACATAAGATGATGAATAAAATAAGATGATAATTAATCTATATTATGTTTATTTTGTATTTAAATAAATGGATATGATTATAAGGATGATTAATCATCCTTTTAGTATCGAATAATTCAATACTCCACAAGTTGAGAGAATTATTTTTAACCTATGGGATTAAACTTATATGTCATATTATATTCTTAAAAATTATATTAATAATTTAAATTATAAAACTTTAAGGAAATATACGTTTGACCAATAAATAAATTATCCTATCTTATATTAAAAAAAAAATAATCCTATCTTAGTCTTTATACACATCAAATATAAGATAACATGACATTATTTAATTTAATCATATTCATAATATTATCTTATCTTATTCTATCATGTCTTATATACCAAATACATCCTATAATCTTTAAATAACTTTAAAATTATTAATTTGTGTAATTATTACAATATAAATGATTATTTTCATATTTTTAAACAAAATAATATTTGATTTTTTAATAATATCAAATACAATGATATTTAATTTCTAAAAATTAAGGATGTGTTTGGTATATAAGATTATGATAGGATATGATAATATGATATTATAAATAAAATAAAATAAAATAATATTATTTTATCTTATGTTTGATGTGTGCATAATTATGATTGAATAATTTATTTATTAGTCAAAATTATATTTTCTCAAAATTTATACAAATTAAATTATTGATATAATTTTTAACTATATAATAAGACATGTAAGTTCAATCCTATAGATTATTATCCACTTTGAGAGGATTGAATGATACTATATCAAGAAGATTATTAATCATTCTTGTAATTTTATCATTTTTTTTAGATACAAACTAAATATAATATAAGATAATTATTATTTTATCTATACCTCATCTAATGCACCAAATATGACCTAAAAATTATTAATTAAACAAAATGATTTCAAATTACAAATATTAAGATCATTTTGATAATAAAATTACCCCATAATTATATTACCATAATAATTTTATTAAAAAAAACTAAATGCTACCTTAAAGCTACTTTCACCTTAATAGTTCTAAATTGATTTAAATAAAAATGATCAAATGTAAAAATTTATTAATTTATGTTTCTCAAGATATAAAAAAACTTTTACAATGAAAGGACATAATTTTTTTATTTTAATCAATAAATAACTTTTACAAAGTCCAAGTGAAAATATTTTTCTTTGAATGATTCTTTTGTTAGTTGTTTTTTTTTTTTCCAAATTTCTTTTGTTATTTGTTTATTAATTTTTTATTTTTTACTCTCTACTATTTTTATGAAATAAATAATAAATGATAGCATAAATCAAATGGAAGCAGTTGTGGGAATAATTAAATTAAACAAAAATAAATTAATGCAACAAAATTGGAGTAATAGAGAAAAAAAGGAAATGCAACAAACTTAATCAACAAACAGGAGCACTCTAAGTAATTGGAAAAAATACATACTTAATGAAATTAAAATCCTAGAGAATTAATTAAAAGAATAATTAAAAAAAAGAAAGAAAAAAGAAAAGAGAGCCGTCATCAAATAAAATAAAAAATAAAAGAAGAGAAGAAAAAGAATAGAAAGGGAAAGCATTTTTTAGTTTTGTAATGTTTTTGGTGGAAGAGAGGGGACTCTTTTTAGTTTCAGTAATTCCGTCCAAAACCAAACACCAAAAAGCACATAAGAAGGTGAAAATTGAAAGACAAGAGGTGGTTGCTTCCACATTCCTAAAGATGAACAGCGGCCCCTCCGGTTTCAGTGCGTTCAATTTCATCTTTATTACTTCTTTTACCATGATCTTTTCTATTTTCCTGGAAAATTT